TTTTTTTTTTTTATCTCGGTCCATTGGAGCAGTCAAGACGTTTACATTAAACGTAAGCGCAGTTTCATATTTCGAAGCAATTGCAGGAGTAGTTGAAAGGATCTAAAACTTGAAAATTTAAACTAAAGGTTTCATTTATACACTGATTGGGTAAACCATATAATTGAGAGTCTCTGGAGTTGGTCCTGCGCAAAGTTCGAGGAACTGGCCGGTCTTACATACTTCCACTTTAGAGGAAAACAAATTTCGTGTAAAGCTCTTATTCAGCACAAGCGCATGCATTAACATAAAGCAACCTTGAAATGCAAATTAGAGGTCATTCATTTCAGGTGCTCTTATTCATTATGTCAGAATGTGAAAGACAAGCTTTAACATACGCGCAGCGAGGTAATTTATAGATCAAAGAGAACACAGTCACTGAAAATTAAAGTGGGCATGTGACTGAGTCAGTGTGTAGCCCGAATGAAAAACTGGTACCATAAAATTGCCTTCCACATCTACCTAAGAAGGCCATACATGTGGAAGTCCTTTTCAGCCATTTTCTGCTTGACTTAATTGCTTGACAAGTTAATAAGAGTGAATGTCATTATTATGTCGTTTCCAATTCAACGAAATGAAATCGCCACATTAAATATAAAGTAAACGTAGGGGTGACGGATGCGTTTGCAAAAACAGCTGTCGACAAAAATACCTTTTAAAAGGACTATTAACAAATTAGAGCATTGGAAGACGAAACAGTTGGGCAATGTTTTTGCAATTACAACAACCGTGACATTCATACGAACTGGTTTGAGGTCATCAAATGAAGTGTTGTTGTACAAAGTAAGGTGTTTTCTGTTTGTATTTCTGCAACGCAGATGTGATGGAGAGTTCTACCTTCGAATATTGACTGTTTTAAAAGTTGCATTTGGAGAGGGTTTGCGTAAAAACAATATAATCGCCTTAAAAACGATATATACTCCGTGAGGTGATAAATAAATTATAATTATGGCATAATGTATAATAACGTGAAATAATAATTTTAAAACTGTTGATGTTGGTTCTTGGTTTACAGCCTCACGCGCACGTTCTTATGGCTCGTCACGCACTGCCCAAAGAGCGTCCGCGTAGGAAACTAAGACTTCGTCCACACTACGCCGAAGGAATTTAAAAACGGAGGTTTCGCTCTGAAAACCCACTACACCAAATGTTTCCCGTCCACACTACTCCGAAGGAATTTGAAAACGCAACAATCGTCGGTCATTTTGGATTTGTGTTTGAGGAAAACTCGGGTATGGCAAGCCGTTTGTAGCAAAATTCAATCCTTGCAATATATGTTTAATCCTTTAAATAATGGTTTTATTTAAACATATAAAAAGGCATTCAATCCAACGGCAAATAAAATTTTTGGTTCAATTCAATCTTTTAATTTTCATGATTCAATCCAATACCTGGAATATTGTTTCAATCCAATACCTAAAATATTGATTCAATCCAATACCTGGAATATTGATTCAATCCAATACCTAAAATATTGATTCAATCCAATACCTAGAATATTGATTCAATCCAATACCTGAAATATTGATTCA